CAAGGACACGGGAAGCCATGCCCCGAAGACGGGGCAAGGAGGGGTGGCCGAGACGGTGGTGCCACAGGAGAGTCTCGTGAGACAGGAGGCGACACGAACAGGGGGCAGACTCAGGACCAGACCTGGACGCAGCAGCAAACACCTGACCTGACGCTGCTACCTGACCGGACGCAGGAGACTCAGTGGTCAGGGTGTAGAGGCTCGACCCCGGCCGACGCGAGAACGTGGCCAGGTGCCGGCCTGTGCGTGCGTCCGTGCAGTGGGTCACCCGCTGACTCGCAGGAGTGAACTGGTGAACCCCCGCATCCTGCAGGTCTGCACCACTCACCAAGTTCGTCGAGAACGAGGGGAGGTACAGGCCAGACAGGGTGCCCGAGGGGGCAGCCGGACACGGGAGGACAGTGGAAAAGTGAGCGAGGACAGGACCCCCAGAGGGGTCAGCCAGGGAGACTGCAACAGGCCGACCAAGCGGCGTGAGTGTGGTGCGGTCCCGAAAGAAGGAGCGAGAAGCCCCAGAGTCAAGTGTAAAGGTGAGGGAGGCCGAAGCCAACGTGGTACCTGAGAGCGCAGCCTCACCCGCACCTGAGGAAGCAGACTCACTAGCACCTAGAGCAGCAGCCACACCTGTACCTGGAGCAGGAGACTCACTAGCACCCAGAGCAGCAGCAGCCTCACCAGTAGCTAGAGCAGTAGGTCCTATACCCGGGTTAGGCGGTACGCACAGGTGACCGGCACGGTCAGCACTAGTAGGCAATGCATACATGGCAGTGAGAATAGCATCATAGTCAAGAGCAAATATATCTACCCTCTGTCTAAGCAACTCCACCCAGTCGGGGAGCTCAGCCTCATCGCCAAACACGGTACGCCAGGCGTCGCTCAGACGGGCGAAGCAGCGGGACTGTGTATGACCAGGTGTCCCACAAGGCTGACCAGTCCGAGCACCAGTGAGAATCACGTAAGAGCAGCGAACAGAACTGAGAGACCCTCTACTCTGAGCGTACCACTCACGAAGCTGCTGAGGCGTGAGAGACGCGCGGGGGGGTCGCGGGAGCTGCATCTGGCCGCCACTAGTAGTAGAAGCAGCAGGAGTGGTAGCAGTAGTAGCGCCACCACCCCTACAGCCCCAACTAGCGTACCACTCACGCAGCTGCTGGGGCGTGAGGGACTCACGCAGACGTCGATGGGGCTGCATATGGCTCCACCAGTAGAGGCAGGAGCAGGAGTAGCAGCAGTAAGGCAGGCAGCCAGGCAAGCCAAAAAGGGAGGCAGGCAGGCAAGCAGGCGACGCGCAGCGTGCTAGCAGGGCAGGGGCTCACCAGTGGTGGGTAGAGTAGGCTCGGCGACTTAGCGGCTCGGCAGCACGGCGGCTCTGCGGCTCGGGCGACTCGGGCGGCTCGGCGGCAGGGTGGCTCGGCAGCAACTGCAGCTCGGCAGCTCGGCGACCCGGCGGCGCGGCTGTAGGGCGGCTCGGCTGCTGGGAGGCTCGGGGGTAGAGCGGCTCGGCTGCAGGGCGGCTCGGCTGCTGGGAGGCTCGGGTGTAGAGCGGCTCGGCGGCGAGGCGGCTCGGCTGCAGGGCGGCTCGAGACGAAGGAGGAGGAGAAGCAGGGGAGACCACACACCTGCCACCCCTCAGCTGGCCTCTCAGGTCGCCTCGACAGGCGACGGGAAAAGGGGGGGGGGGGGGGGGGGGGAGGCGGCTCGGGCGGCTCGGGCGGGTCAGGCGGCTCGGGCAGCTCGGGCAGTCGGGGGGGCCGGGACGGCGGCGTGCAGCAGGGACGGGCGGCGCACGGGCGGTGTGAGGCCGGGACGGGCGCGCGCGGGCGGCTAGGGGCTGGGACGGGCGCGCGCGGGTGGCTAGGGGCCGGGACGGGCGGCGCGCGGGCGGCTAGAGGCCTGAACGGGCGGCGCGCGAGCGGCTAGGGGCCGGGACAGGCGGCGCGCGGGCGGCTAGGGGCCTGAACGGGCGGCGCGCGAGCGGCTAGGGGCCGGGACGGGCGGCGCGCGGGCGGCTAAGGGCCGGGACGGGCGGCGCGCGGGCGGCTAGGGGCCTGAACGGGCGGCGCGCGAGCGGCTAGGGGCCGGGACGGGCGGCGCGCGGGCGGCTAAGGGCCGGGACGGCGGCGCGCGGGCGGCTAGGGGCCTGAACGGGCGCGCGCGGGCGGCTAGGGGGCCGTAGGGCAGGCCGAAAGAGTGAGAGCGAGGGCCCGGAGCGCGCTCCGGGCAGAAAAAAAAAGTTTAAAAGCGGTGGGCCCTAAGCACAGTTCCCACGGGGGAACCTGCTCGATACCATGTGGAGAATAGAACGAGAATGAATGAACTATGAGTGAAGTGAGTACAAATAGCAAAACCCTAATTGTGTTGTACCCCCTATGGGATACCCCACTGTAGCCTACACAACAGCATAAGCTACATATATGTTCTGACAACTGGAGCACAGGACAAAGCACATTGCTCTCCGCTACTTTCTTGCTCGTGAGCTACAGCAGCGTGGACAGTTGCGACTTGCGTACGTGGCCTCTGAGGCCAACACTGCTGATGTCTTCACCAAGGCACTTGCGCCTTGTGATCATCAGCGTTGCTGCACGCAGCTGGGTCTTGTGCCTGTCTTGGCTCACTTGCTCACTTCTTGACCTTGCTTGTACCTTGACCTATATATACTCTTGTTCTTGCTTGCTTGACTCTTGTTTATCTCTATATATGCTCTTGCCTGTGAACTGGCCTTGTGGCCCTTGAACTTGTGCTCGGAATGTGTGGTGACTTTGTGATCCACCCTGAGCTTTGCTTTGCTCTGCTTGACTGGTCTTGTGACCCCTTCTTCTCCCCCACTTTGCCTATGGGGGTGTGTCAGAATATTATAGCTTACTTATGTGTGTAGGCTATAGTGGGGTATCCCATAGGGGGTACAACCCAACTAGGGTTTCCTATTTGTACTCACTTCGTTCATAGTCATTTCATTCTCGTTCTAACTTTCTCACGTAAATGGCATTCCCGAGTCGCTAGTCGCGATCCCGCTTACATTCCCTCCTGTCGTTCGATCCCTACCATCACTGATCACTCGTCCCTCTTTACCTGTCGCCCTCGCTTCCTCTCTTGTCGTCGCTTTCGTTGCCCGTCGTCCCTCTCCATCACCCTCGCGTCTCCTGCTGTCGGCCACGCTAGGTTCATACTAAGCCTTCCGCGTCACCCTCATTTGTCAGAATGTTATCTTATGCTCTAGCTTGTAGTGGGGTGCTCTATAGCGAGTACAACCCTTCTAGGGTTTCCTATTTGTATCCCCATTCTTGCTAGTGCAGTCATCTTCTCCCTTCTAACTTTCACATGGTATCAGAGCAGGTCGATCCCCTTGGATCGATCCTCTGGGTGGGCTTACCACCTCCTTGCTTCCGCTGCAACTACTACCACTACTCTCAGAGCCGCACGCCCTGTGGCGTGCGGCATTTTTCCTTCCCGCCGTGCGCCCCGAGGCGCGCGGCGGTTTTCTACTCGCCATGCGCCCCGAGGCGCGCGGCGGTTCTCTGCCCGCTGTGCGCCCCGAGGCGCGCGGCGGGCTTCTGCCCCGTCGTTCGGCGCGTCGCCCTCTAGAGGCGCCGCGACGGGCGACGGGGACCCGCGCGTCGCCCCCCGTCGCCCGTCGTGGCCTGCGCGCGGCCCGTACACGCAGCGCGCGGCCCGTACGGGCTGCGCTAGGCCCGCGCACGGCCCGTACGGACTGCGCCAGGCTCGTGCGCGGCCCGTACGGGCTGCGCCAGGCCCGCGCGCGACCCGTATGGGCGGCGCCAGGCCCGCGCGCGGCCCGTACGGACGGCGCCAGGCCCGCATGCGGCTCGGGCCGCCTGCGCGCGGCTCGGGCGTCTCTACTAGGCCCGTGGTGGGCCCCTTCCTCGCTGCCCCTTCCCTCCCCGCTGTCCCCCAGTGCTTCTACTGGCGTCCCACCCCTCTTACTCCCCATTCTCCTGAATTAGGGTTTGGGGGTGAGGGGTATGGGGGTGTCTTCACTCTGTACCGTTCCCTGCTCCTCCTCCTTCTCCGTCTCCTTGTGCTGCAGCTGCCGCTGAGGGGGGGTGGACGTGTTGGAGCCGGTGGAGTGGTACTAAGGGGGGGGTGAAGGGGGAGTGGAGCTAGCGGTGTAGCAGCGGGTGTGTGCCAGGGGGGAGTGGGAGAGTTTGGGGAAGTTGAATGGAGGTTGCCGTCGTGTCGCCAGCAGCACCTGTATTCCGGGGAGTTGCTCCGGTAGCCCAGTCGTAGCCAGCTGTGCAAGCCGCCCGTGGGTCCGTTGCTCGTCTGCCGCTACTTTAGCCGCGGGGCCAGTTACTCCAGTATTCCGGAGCGTTGTTCCGGTAGCCGCTGTGCCAGTGTGCCTCCTGTTGCCCGTGTGTCTGCAGCTTCATCCGTCGCCTCCTATCTCCTCTCCTCTCACTCTCTCTCCTCCTCCTCACTTGCCCGTTGTGACTACCACTAGCTTTGCTCATAATTGTGCACTTTAAACTATTGTTTCTTGAACTTGTGCTCAGAATGTGTGGTGACATTGTGATCCACCCTGAGCTTGTACTGCTTTGCTTGCTCTGCTGATTACACCCCACTTTGGCTATGGGGGTGTGTCAGAATGTTATCTTATGCTCTAGCCTGTAGTGGGGTGCTCTATAGCGAGTACAACCCTTCTAGGGTTTCCTATTTGTATCCCCATTCTTGCTAGTGCAGTCCTCTTCTCTCTTCTAACTTTCACATCATCTCCCCTGGCCGTCGCCCTATTTCGCCTCGTCGACCGTAATTCCCCTTGAAAAGGCGTTCTTTTTAAAATCAATCTTGTTTTGTTTTTATCACATATACATATATATTTTAGTCGCCCGTAAATCCCCGCTTCCCCCGTGATTCCCCTGTCCCCCTCGTCTCTCTCGCTTCCCTTCGTCGCCCGCAATTCCCCACGCCGCCCGCGATTCCCCAGGATGCCGTCTCCCACGTTTCCCCCCGTCGCCCAGCTTTCCCACCACGCACCACACACCTTACCCCCCACATACACCACCCATCTTCTTCTCCCCACACCACCTGCCTTCCCCCACGCATAGCACCGACCTTCCTCCCCCCGCACCACCCGCCTTCGCCCAACACCACACGCCCTCGTGTTCCTCCTCATACCCGCCCTCCTCCCCCCCACATACCCGCCCTCCTCCCCCCCACATACCCGCCCTCCTCCCCCCCACATACCCGCCCTCCTCCCCCCCACATACCCGCCCTCCTCCCCCCCACATACCCGCCCTCCTCCCCCCCACATACCCGCCCTCCTCCCCCCCACATACCCGCCCTCCTCCCCCCCACATACCCGCCCTCCTCCCCCCCACATACCCGCCCTCCTCCCCCCCACATACCCGTCCTCCTCCCCCCCACATACCCGCCCTCCTCCCCCCCACATACCCGCCCTCCTCCCCCCCACATACCCGCCCTCCTCCCCCCCACATACCCGTCCTCCTCCCCCACACATACCCGCCCTCCTCCCCCCCACATACCCGCCCTCCTCCCCCCCACATACCCGCCCTCCTCCCCCCCACATACACGGGACAGAGGAGGAGGGTGAGAGGGGGAGGGGGAGAGGGGGGGGGAGAGAGGGGGAGGGACAGAGGGGGAGGGACAGAGGGACGGAGACAGTGGGGGAGGGAACGAGGGGGAGAGGGAGAGGAGGAGGGAGAGAGGGGGAGGGAGAGAGGGGGAGGGAGAGAGGAGGAGGGAGAGAGAGGGATGGACAGAGGGGGTTTGAAATATGGTGTTGGATGGGAGGGGGTCGGATGGATTGTGTGAGACGGGAGGGTGATTTGAAATTGGGTGATGGTGTGAGATGGAGGGATTGTGTGCGATGGAGGGATGGAGCATGGGATGAGATGGCATAGTCTGCACATTATGCTGCAGGGTGTTTTGGGGAATTCTCTAAAACACCCTGCTCACTCCCGTCCTCTCTTCCTCGGCCCCCACACCATCCTCCCTCCAGCTCTCTCCCCGTCATTTGCCCCCGTTCCCCCGACCCCCTTCCCTGCTTCCCCCCATCCCCTTCCCTGCTTCCCCCCATCCCCTTCCCTGCTTCCCCCCATCCCCTTCCCTGCTTCCCCCCCTCCCCTTCCCTGCTTCCCCCCATCCCCTTCCCTGCTTCCCCCCATCCCCTTCCCTGCTTCCCCCCATCCCCTTCCCTGCTTCCCCCCATCCCCTTCCCTGCTTCCCCCCATCCCCTTCCCTGCTCCCCCCCATCCCCTTCTCTCTCTCAGTCCTTTCGCACTCTCTCTCCGTCCTCTCGCACTCTCACTCTCCTTCCCACCACCCTCAGCCCTCCTTCCCCCCACCCTCTGCCCTGTTCCCACCTGCCCTCCCAATCCCTGCCTTTCCCTCCCTGCCTTACCCTTCCCTTCCCCATCCCTTCTCAACCCTTCCTTCCTTTTCATGCCCTCCCCTTCCCCCTCATTTCTCACTTTCCGCCCTCTAGTTCCCATGCATGTGCACCCATCCATCACTGTTTCCCCATACATGATTTCATCGTGTGTGCTTGCTTGTATCCCCTTGCGGGTGTTCAGTGGCACCTCACACCACCTCCCCCATGTTTCTTCACACAATCCTTTCTGCCTACTCCACTCTCCTAAATTTCAATGGTGAAGCAGAGGAGCAAGCTGAGGCGCAGCTAGTCGATGCTTTACACCGTACCACCACCTGTTTCTTGTGTGTCGTATGCAACAACAGATACTCCGTTACTGTTGGAGATATCTATCTCAAAGGAACATTATGTACTTTTGTTTTTGCACTGCAATATATTCTTACAAGATGCATGGACACTAAGAGTGTCAGATCAGAAGGGTACATAGAGGCATGTTCCAAATACTTCTGATTGTACCTTTCTCAAGGCCTTGAGAAGCAAGGAGGGACATGATGAGAAGCAGGGAGGGACATGAGGGGCAGCAGTGGGGGAAATGAGGGGAAGCAGGGGGGGAAATGAGGGGAAGCAGGGAGGGAAATGAGGGGAAGGACGGGAGGAATGAGGGGAAGCACGGGAGGAAATGAGGGGAAGCAAGGGAGGAAATGAGGGGAAGCACGGGAGGAAATGAGGGGAAGCACGGGAAGAAATGAGGGGAAGCACGGGAGGAAATGAGGGGAAGCACGGGAGGAAAGGAGGGGAAGCAAGGGAGGAAAGGCGGGACAGAGAGGAAAGGGGGAAGTGCGGAAGAGAGGAAGGGTGCAAGTGAGGAGATTGGACGAGGGAGGGGTTAGCATGGGAGAAGCAAGGGGCTAGAAGGGAGGGAACAGGGGGTTAGCATGGTAGAAGGGGGGAAAGGAGGGGGAGCAGGGGGGGAAAGGAGGGGAAGCAAGGGGGGAAAGGAGGGGGAGCAGGGAGGGAAAGGAGGGGAAGCAAGGGGGCAAAGGAAGGGAAGGAGGGGGGGAGAGGAGGGGAAGCATGGGGGGAAAGGAGGCGAAGGAAGGGGGGAAAGGAGGGGAAACAGGGGCGGAAAGGAGGGGAAGCAAGGGGGGAACGGAGGGGAAGCAAGGGAGGAAAGGAGGGGGAGCAGAGAGGGAAAGGAGGGGAAGTTGGGGGGAAAGGAGGGGAGGCAGTGGAGAAAAGGAGGGGAAGCAGGGGGGGAAAGGAGGGGAATTAGGGGGGGAAGGGAGGGGAAGCATGGGGGGGAAAGGAGGGGAAACAAGGGTGGAAATGAGGCGACGGAAGGGGGGAAAGGAGGGGAAGCAAGGGTGGAAATGAGGCGACGGAAGGGGGGAAAGGAGGGGAATCAGGGGAATTCGCGCCTCATCCCCATCCGCGCCTCATCCCCATCCACGCCTCATCCCCTTCCTCGTCATCCCCTTCCGCGCCTCATCCCCTTCCTCGTCATCCCCTTCCGCGCCTCATCCCCTTCCGCGCATCATCAATTTCCGTGCCTCATCCCTTTCCGTGCGTCATAAATTTCCGTGCCTCATCCCCTTCCGTGCGTTATCCCCTTCCGTGCCTTATTCCGCTCTGTCCGTGAGCAGAGCACGCCTGCGTGATAAGGAGCGGCAGCGCGCCAATGCGCCTGCCGCAGATCACGTCACAAGCGGAGCATCTCTCCTCTCGCGCTCAAAGGCCCCGTTCTTCTTCCCCCTTTTCCCCATTCCACACCCAGTATCTGCTCCTCCTCTCCTCCACCGTCTGGCGTTGCGTCTGCCGCAAGTTGCGCCAGCGGGCAGCTCTCCCATCCCGCTGTGGAAAAATGAGGAATGAAGAAGAGAGGGGGTTCACTAGCAAGCAGTTGAGTACATATAGGAAACCCTAAGTTGGGCTGTACTCACTATTGAGTACCCCACTGCAGGCTAGACAAACATAACATTCTGACACACCCCCATAGCCAAAGTGGGGTGTAATCAGCACAATGAGCAAGCAGGCATAGAGCAGGAGTTCACAATAGCGAGCAAAGCTAGAGTCATTCACAAAGGGCAAGTGAGGAGGAGGAGGCGAGACTGTAAGAGGAGAGGAGATAGGAGGCGACGGCTGAAGCTGCAGACACACGGGCAACAGGAGTCACACTGGCACAGCGGCTACCGGAACAGCGCTCCGGACTACTGGAGTAACTGGCTCCGACGCTAAGACTAGCGGCAGACGAGCAACGGACCCACGGGCGACTGGCACAGCTGGTTACGACTTGTGAGAGTACGACGGCTTATGCCAGCTATGCTTGCTTGCCTCTACTTTATCATGCTATTTCTAGCATAGGATAATCATATGCATGCATGAATTGCTTGATTTCCTAGGCTAGGTGCTTTCCTATATTTTATTATAGTTATAGCACCGAGCTAGGTTGCGTGCACCGAATTCTGGCTTTTCGGTTGCCACCGAATTGCCTTCTACCGAATTCGGTAAGGATCTGTTCGGGACGCTTCGCGACCCGCGGAACCTTCGCGTAACACCTGGTTACGGGGCCTTGTGTCGAGCCTATATATAGCCTCGTGTTGTACCCAGGTGGACATTCAATTCAATTCAATTCAATTTGAATCATCTTTTCTGAGCTCCTTCCAGATCCTCACACTTGGTAATCAGAGCGGGTTTACACGCGAGGTCTTCAACCGCTTAGTTCCGGCCTTTAAAAACCGCGGGGGCGACGACGAAAGCGCCGATACGGGTAGGTAAAACCAGTTCCGCGCAATTTTTCTAAGTCCCCCTCGATTCGGTTTTCGAACACCCCTCAGATTTACTGGTGGAAAGGTTGGAGTTTCGACCGTTCGATCGAGTTTCATCTCAACGGCCCAGAGAATTTCGCCCAAAAAAGTTGGAATTTGGAGCGTCAGATCGATTTTCTCCTCAACGGCCAAGATCGGACGCGAATTTCGCCTAAGGGAGATTTACGCAACCTACAGAATTCGCGCTCGTCGATTCTACAGTCAATTTGACTCGCAGTAAGTCGACCAGCACCTAGAATTCGATTATTTTCGTCGCGCATCTTCCTGTAAATCACCAAATGGAGGGCCAAGGCGACAACTACGCGACTACGAGCGACATTGCGAGCCTCCGCACCGACATGGAGCAGACGCAGGCGACGCTTCGTCGACTCGAGGCTTTTCTGACAAGCCAACCAGGGTTCGCCACCGCAGCAGCAGCGACCACAGCGACTGCAGCACCGACAACTCCAGCAGCAGTGGCGACACCGACATTTCACGGACCAATAGCACCACTGTCGCCGAACTTCGAAGTAGCACGACTGAGGCTCCCGGAGGCGTTCGATCCAAGCGCGAAGGGATCCGACGTCCGGCGATTCCTGGCCACCCTCGAAATTTACTTCGAGGCCATTGGCTGTTCGACCCCGCAACACGACGCAACAAGGATTCGGCTCGCAGCGACACTGTTACGTGGACCGGCTCTCGAATGTATTTACTACACCGACGTAGCCCGCGGGGAGAAAACGTGGCAGCAGTTTCGGGCAGATTTAATCGAGCGTTTCGAACCAGTTAATACAACCTACATGGCGCGGCAGCAGATACACCGACACAAGCAATACAGTAGTGTAACACAGTACACGCAGCAGATGGAGTTACTGTTCAACCGCATCACCGACCTGACCGAAGGCGAAAAAATCCAGGCGTACACCGAAGGATTAAAAATGGAGATTCGGCGGCAGGTGATTGCGGCGAAATACAACAGCTACAGAGACATCGTGCGTGCTGCCGAGCGATACGACGCGCTTACTCGAAGTCAACCCGAAACACGACGCTTCACGCCGAACCGTACATTCGGCACGGAGCGATCGGCACCCCCCACGTTCACCGAACCGATGGATATCGACGAATACGACGCGAAGCAGCAGCCGACAAAATGCGAATTTTGAGGCGCAGCAGGACATCAGCTTTTGTTGTGCTACAAAATGAAGAATGCACGTGCGGCACTCCGGGACGGAAACAGTGGAGCACCCCCGAAGTAAAAAAACGGGAATCGCCAGTAGCCGCAGATCGACCTGGCGATCGCGTAAAGATCCGAAAAGCAGGAAAAGGCGACGACGTGGCGACTTCGGAGTGGGTGAAAAAAGAAGAAAATGATGGCGCGAATTTAAAACGTCACGACCGGCCGGCATCAGGGGAAATCGCCGAGGCGAATGGAGGCTCCGCGAAAAAAGACTCTGCACCGACCGGGAAACTCCAGCCGAACACCCACAAAAGTAAGAATTCGTTAAAAGTATCCTATAAAGATGCTCTAACGAAGAATATTGCTTCTCGTGGTTTACAAGCCTTCAAAGAATTCAGGGGAGGTCTAGAGGCCAAGAAAAGGCCTTTAGAAATTATTCAGGTACCTGAGAAGTTGGGCAAAGTACTACGGAGCGTAGAAAAGGGTCGTGCGTTCCGTGGAGTTAATATTCTCTCCCCGCAGCACAGTGTTAAGGCTCCCCGTCGCCCACAGGTGAAGCCTACACAGCTGCCAACGCTTAGAGGAGACATCCAGGCTTAGGAAAAATTATACAAGCCTCGGAAAAATCCTCCTACCCCCCAGGTGAAGTTGGAAAGCGCTGAGTCAGGTATAGGAAAAAGGGAAGGTATTAAGTTTGATGTACCCTATGATCCTATTAACGAGACCCTCTTTGGCTACTCAGCACAGCAGAAACCACTACTCCTCGAGGTGTTATGCAATGGGCGACGCCTCCAGGCACTGGTGGACAGCGGTGCATCTCACTCGGTGTGTGACCGCGGAGCATTGGAGAAAATTGGAGAGAAGGCGGAAGAGACCCAGTTTTCAGCAACCATGGTGGATGGTACGAAGCTTCCTATCCACGGCGAAGCATCACTGCAACTGCATATAGGTGCATTGAGGTGGAAGCCGAAGCTACCAGTCACCAACATCAAAGGATTAGATTTTATCTTGGGGCGAGATTTCCTGAAGCAGTTCAACCCCGAGATCGATTGGGTCAACAGCAAGGTGTGCATCTACAACAATGGGAAGTGGATAGCACTGCGAAGCTGGACGGATACAGGGGACGTACCTGAAACGACA